GTACAATTCGCTGACGTTTTACCCATGTTTTAGCCAAAAATTCGACATGAATTTTGAATAGAAAATGGAAAAATTTTGAATGGACACATTCAAAGACTGTTCGAAAGACTCGTTAGTTGGGTTTCTTGACGATTAGTTTTTGGTAAAGATTGGCTGGACCATTCCTGATGAGATTATTTCTTACGTGTCGATTGTGATTAGTCGTCGTGTATGTAAATAGAGATCTGTCGTTATATGCGTACCGGCATCAACGTTGTATGCGTACCGATATCACCAAGGAAATCGGCATAGATAAATAAACATTTTAAAGTTACATCGTAGTACAAATCTTGATTTATTGAAAAATGTCTGAGTTAGAAAAATATTAAAACAAATTATAAGCATTTGTGCCATGTACTAAACGTAAATTTATTGATTAGAAATAAATTCTATATTATTCGTAAATTGTATTTGTAAAGTTTCTATAAATCTTTGTGAGTTATTAAAATGGAAAATATTTTTTAGGCTAGACAGATATTACAGCTGTTCAAAGAATATGAGATTATATCGCCAGCGAAAAAAAAAAAAAATACAATTACTTCATTTCTCTAATGATGGTTCATTTCGAAATGCTAATTACAATGACAAGCCGATTATGTCATATTTAAAGTATGACTTTAATTACATTATTGTTTTTAAATATTATACATATTTTTAATGCTATTATAAATATAAAATTTATAATTTGTCATTATATAAATGTGTATAATGGTTGGCACTAATAAATGTGTGCATCACGAGTGTTATCATATTACTAATAAACATTATTCAAAATTGGTATATGATTTTTACTTAAATGCCATCTTGTACAGTAGCCAATAGGTTTTACTTACGCGCACTCTTTTTTTTGTTGTTTAGTTATTTGTAGTGAAAAAATATAACCGACTCAAGCGGTTTATGAAAGACTATTACATTGGTAGGTATATTTATGGTAAATTCTTTAGGAAAATACTACTCCAAAGAAGATCATAATACAGTTCAGGATTCTAATAGTTAAAGAAGAAATAACATATTTATTGAAACCATTATTGATGTCAATTGATGTGCTCACCTGAAAGATATCTTGAATAAACATCACTCTCAATTTCAAATATAAAATTTTAATTTCTAAATTTTGCAATTGATTATATCATGACTGAATCTAAATCAAGACAGAGATCTAAAAAAATAGTTGAACATAAAGTTCCTGTTCCTGAACTAGGGTCGCTAATCGTACATAAACTATGTAAATCAAAATTTCATGTTTATTATTTTATTTGATTTCTGCACTTATTTAAATTTTCAGGAGAAGCTATCTAGATGTTGAATGTATATATGAGTATATCCAATAAAATTTGTTTTTGTTTCTTTGAGTATTCATGGAAGGCCTAAGGTACCCGAGGAAAAAGTACTTATACTTGTAAAATTAGTAATGGTGGACGATAAGATTTTGTAATGATGATTGAGATTTGAAATATCTTAAATATATCAATTTTAGGAATCACATTTAACTTCTGTCAGCAAGTTTTTAAAGCTGCTGCTCTTTCTGAATTAACTAGCTGAAGCTGGCTTTTTTGGATCATCGAATCCTACTCTTAATGAGTATGACAAAATGTCCAAGATACAAATGTATCAAACTTGAAGTAAGTTTTAATAGAACACGTTTTTAATTCATTACAGTAGAACAGAGTAATTTTTGCATGATTAATGCTATACTTTAGTATAACATTAGTCTGGTTAATCGAGTTTCTACTGTATTTAGTTCTATGGGAAAAAAAAATTTATGAACATATAAATTATTGGGGTATTATATAAATTAAAATATATATTTATATAAATCTCTTGCCATCTGTTCAAAAGTTTTCAAAAATTTATGAGAAATAACGAGATGACAAGTATATATTTGTACATGTGTGTATATGCTTGTTTCACTGTTTATATATATATATATATATATATATATATATGTAATAATAATTGCTTACATCTTTGCAAAAATCAACCAATTTCCTTATTTTTGATAACGCAAATAAATAATATATTTTTGATAACGCAAATAAATAATATAGATTTACTTACAAATAACTCATTAAAGACATCACAAATTGAATGAAACTATAATCATTCTAAATCTTTGTATTTAGATATTGTTTAATTTGTACAAGTATATAATCCAATTCTTCAGAATCAGTGTGATCTAATGTTTCATTTAATACATCGACTTCTTTTTCTATTTGTTCCAACTTTTTTTCCGATTTATCAAGTAACTTCTGTAATAGATGCTCATTCCTCTCTAATTCAGATTGCTCAACGTTTTCCTGAAATTAAAATATAATATAATATAATATAAAATTATATATATTAGCTACAATATAATAAAACATAAAATAATATATATATATATATATATATATATATATTATATATATGATATTCAGTTTTCAGGGCAATACATCAATTAAAAAATTTGTATGACTATGCAAGAGTCTTGCATCGGAATACAGTATAGCGGGATGTATTTTACAAATTCATAAAATAACTCATTCAAAAAATTTATTATTGTTACATTTAAAGTGACAAGAATTGGTTTCATTGTGCATTGTGAACAATTATAATTAGGAAATAATTAGGATTATTACAATTACATAGTCCACTGAAGATGACACAAAACTATGTGTCAAAACGTATGGAAAAAATAAAAATGTTTTAAAGTCATACAAATTTTTTAATTGATGTATTGCCCTGAAAACTGAATATCACATATTTCAACATCAAAATTATATAAAAAATTCTAATTCTAACACTTTATTTCATTTTTTACGCAAAATTTAATACAAATTCTTTGACTTTTCAATTCTTCCATTGTAAAAATCGCCGAGCTCAGAAAAACACGTCGAACCTTAGCGACTACCACAGACAAAGTAAACAGTGAATATAGCTGAAAATTTCATCATACTTTAGGGGCATGTATACCAACACAATAAAAAAAAATTTTTGACAATCAGACACTCCAGACCCGCGAAATTTAATTATTAGTAATTCCGGGTACTTTTTGAACACACCTCATAATTTTTGAACACATATAATAAAAATATATAATATAATAATGAATACAATATAAAGTTATAATTTTATATAATTCATATTATATATTAATTATAAATATATATATATATATATATATATATAAAATATATATATATATATATATATATATATAATATTTTATGTTTTATTATATATATAATTATTTTAATATAATATATATATATATATATATATATATAATTTTTAATTCTGGCATAATATGAATTAAAAAACCCGCAAATTAAAAAATTTATTTATAAGAATCATATATCAAAAATGTCATTTAGTTGAAGAAAACACTTGTATGAATAACAAAGTAATAATTTAGTGTTACTTATATAAGCAGATTACTTTTTTCTCACCAAATGAGTAAAACGAAATATGCAGATTCAATAAACTTTAGCTTTTGAATTCGTGGTATACAAGAATTAACACATCTACAAATATATATGCAATTGTTAACGAAGATGTACTTACATTCTTTATTTGTTCTTCCAACATTTCAATTTCTTTATCTAATTTTTCATGTTCTGCATCCGTAATTTGTTTCTCCTGATCTTCATCTCCAGGCAATAAAATATTGGATGGTATGACAAAATATTTTTGTGCATAACTCTTGATATTTTCTCTGAATGTATCTAATGAAGGTTGACAAGCCTCTTTATAATTTTGCATAAATTTAGCAAATTCACTACTGCTACCATTTTGTGAAATGTATTGATTTTCAAATTCTTGAAGTATAGTTGATGCATGGCGTTCGGCATTCTGGCATACTGCAAAGAAAGAAAAGTTAGAGAAACGATTGTGAATATTGATAAAGAAGCCTTCAAACATAATATATATATAATTTTGTGATATGAGTGGAACGAATATTAAATGTTAAATATGAACAATACAACACTCAGATTTTCAACACACACTTTAAGTGTAAGTATCACATGTTTTTTTAGTACAGAGTCAAGCATTGCAAGGAATTTTTTGTATATCAAAAATTAAATGTAATTTAAATGAAATATTAAAAAATGTGTAGTATATAAGTAACTGTTTTTGAAATTACACTGAAGATGAGGCATACCATGGTCTCGAAACGTCTGTAATTATTAAATAAAGTGTGTGTTAAAAATCTGAGTGTTGTATTATTCATATTTAACATTTAATATATATTATATATGTATATATAATATATATATATATATATATATATATATATATATATATATATATAATTTATTATATATATATATATATATATTGTATTGGAAAAGAAAATAAATAAAAAGAGTAAATAGTACTTACAATTAGTTAATCTTACAATTAGTGTTAAATTAGAAGATTTTAATAATCCATGATATCAGGATATGGTTTTGCACTACACTATGTAATATAATTGTAGAATCTTGGTAAAAATATTTTTTAAAAGTCTTTTACGAAAACACATGTATCATACACAATCTATTTGTGATTTTTTTAAATTAGTATTTTGTGAAATATTGTTTAATTACAGATTTAATGTTTATATTACATAGTGCAGTACATTACCATATCCTGATACCATGGATTATTAAAATCTTCTAATTTAACACTAAGATTAACTAAATGTAAGTACTCTTTTTATTTTTTTAATTTTCACTCCAATTCAATTGATTTAGCTTTTAATTTTATTTTTAGTTTCCACCAAATGAAGACTAGGATTTTAGCCAAAATGTATGAATCTAAAATACATTTTTGAAAGAAATTCATGTTTTCATTGATGTTATGCCCGATTACTAGATTTTAATACATATGTCAGCATTAAATTCAGAATCATGAATATATATATATATATATATATTATATATATATGTATATATTATTAATTAATAATAATAATTATCATTAATATATCACTCGGTCAATACTTTAGAAATAGATTAAATGGCATATTCATTCTAGAAATCTAAATGAACAAATTCTGTGACCTTATACAAATAAAAATATTGTCTACTACTTAATAAATATACCAGAACATAATTGTTCTCTTCAATTTCAAAACTTAAATTCGATAAATTCTTATTCAATGTTGGATAGTTGTGTAAACTTCCCTTTAGCATCAATATTCGCATTAAAATTGAATTGAATTCAAATACCATTTGTTTAAATTCGTCTTACTAAAAATCAAACTCAAACATTCACTAGAAATTAAATTTGAAAATACATAAAGCTATAGATGTTTACCGTAGTGAGTATGTAGGATTTTAGAGTATTTCTAGATACCATTTTAAATATATAAAACTCGACTTCTAGAATATATTTTTTAACAAGAATATAATATGATTTTTAGTAAGACAAATTAAATTGTTTTCTAAATTAAACAAAGTCCTTGACAAAGAAGGTATCACATATCCTCGAAACAAAAAATGAAATAGAGCTACATTTTCTGAGACTTAAATAATTAATTCATTTTGTAAGAAAACTAAGTTATATGCATTATATATATATATATATATATATATATATATATAATGTATGTAATATTATAACATTATATATTTAATGTTGAGATATATGAGTAAGTTTTTATTGGGCAATACATCAAAGAAAAAAAAACAAAAATTTATAAAATAATCTTTAATTCCAAACGTTTCGACATTCAATTTAATGTCATCATCAGTAGATATTGACTTTGGTAGCTTTTATCATTAAATGAGCCTCGGGCACTGTATGATACACAAGTTGATCCAAAAATTACTTAACTTTTCACATTTTTATCAAATAAAATTATCATTATTCTTTTTATATAAAAAAGAATAAAAATTCATCGTGTTGACAAGTTAGTTGTATAAATGTTAGTGCTAATTTTTTATGCTGTGTACACATCTTTAGATGTAAGCTACCAAAGTTAATATCCACTGATGATGGCATTAAATTTAATGTCGAAATGTTTGGAATTATATAAATCTTTGTTGTTTTCTTTGATGTAACGCCCTATAAGAACTTATATATATATATATATATATATATATATATATACTGTACACTATGTTTATTTCATTATTTCATTATTTACAATACCACATTCAACAAAGCCTTTAGCGGTGAATCCAAAATGTTGCATTTCATACTCTTCTTGTGTTCTTTCCGGGGGCACAATAAATACTAATTCAGAATCAATCATTTCCTCGGGCTCCATTATTTCCATGGGTAAATTTTGTGCCATTTTTATTTATATTTTATATCAATTATATCTATTTATGAGGGTTAGAACTGCAAGTACACTTAATTTATATGTTATATATTACATATTACATAGCGTACTCTTGTCTGTTAAACATACAGCACTTAGTAGCACTTTAGAGTATGTTAATACTTTAAAACAAATAAAATCACATTTATTTCTTGAGGATTTGTTGATATAATTTAGCAATGCAAGCCCAACTTTTCGAATACGTCAAACTGACTTTTTAAAATACTGATGGACGCTCTGAAAGCACCATCTGTCGGACAAACGATGAGTTGAATTTCCATTCTGAAATTAAAGGTTTATGACTATGATAAGTAAACATAATTTAGCCGTTAGAATTTAAATTTTTTTTTATTGTTCAAAAGAAATTGTTTAACGTTACGTAACTTAAAAAATATTTAAGTTATATAATTCATCTTCATTTATTGTTACTTATTGATATTATGAACTTTTTTATTATGAAACAAAAAACGACTTTACCTGAATCAATTTTTATAGCCAATCATGTCAATTATGCTCTTGATGTTGATTTTATCTTTCAACTTCCCGAAGGAGAAGTTTGTTTTCATCAAAAAATCCGATTCGCTAGTTTTGTGTTTTCTTGACGTTTCAAGCCATTCTGAATCGAATGAGACCAAATTTGAAAAAAGTATGTGTGTGTTGCGTGTCGTGTGTGTGAACAGATTTTTTGCTGTAAATCGACGTTTTCTCAAAAACCGTTAGACCAATTTTAAAAATTTTAAAGCCATTCGATGCATCTCGATGAGGACTAGCTTTTGTCGGTTTTGTGCAACGATCGGCCGAGCTGTTCCTTCGTAAATCGCAGAAAAGTGAAAAAAAAATTTGTCCACGTTTCAGCCCGCAATTCTGAATCGATTTTGAAAATTTAAAAGCTGTTAAAAGATATTAGTTCGGAATGATACCGATTAGTTTTAGGTGAAATCTACCTAATTTTCTTGTAATTAACGGCTGAAAAAAAAATTTAAGCCGATTTTGATGACTTTTTTTTGACGATATATATCATGGTCTTATAGAACTTACTGACATGTTTCGGCCTTACGACAAGTAGTTTAATTTTAAAAACTCATCAAAGTATGAGAAAATGAGTATACTCATTTCAAACAAACTATAGTTTTTTTGACGTTTGTTAAAATTAAAATTAGACGATTTTCTTATTATTAGTATAACGATAGAGTACTTGGTCTTAAGGAACATACTAAACCATTAAAGTCCTACGAAAACTGGTTCGATTATAAATATTATTGATTTGTAAAAATTTGCTTTTAGAAAATACTTCGAGTTAACGTGTTCGTTCTTTTTCAATTATGTGTAATAAATCCACTTGGAATACTTTTAATTACTCATAAATTAATTTATTTTTTATTGATTAAGTCGATTATTTACACATATCGGGAAGTTCATGTAACTTGCCTCAAGGCAAAATACCAATACCAACTACCTCCAAATTATAACTCAGTTTTTTGGAAAACATGATTGCAAAATCTGTGCTTCATTTTGCATTGAGTTGGTTAAATAAATAGTGCCTAGATCAGTAGTAATTTCCAAAGGCCTATCCTAGACAATAATAAAATATAATAAGCATATTCAAATTTATGCTCAAAGTGCTCTTTATCGACCTCAAGGATCAATTACAACTAGAACATTAAAAATTTGATGATATAATTAAAACACCAGATTCATCCTTTCCATTAGAAACATTCACTGGTTGCGTACTTTATATTGTAATTTTAAATTCAATTAATAAATATAACCTTCAGCACAGTTAGGATTTTTCAAAAGATTAGTATGAGGTAAATATAGGGTGTATATCCCGAAGCTAAACTAGTTGTAAGTGTTATTTTACCTTGAGGCAAGTTGCATGAACTTTCCGATATGTGTAAATAAACAACTCAATTAATAATAAATCAAATTTAGCAACTTTTAAACTTATTTCGTTATAATTTCAAAGCTTTAGTGCCTTTCATATGGAATAATTCTATTCCAAATTTTAATGATTTTCATCAATAAACTACCGTACGTAGGTACGTAAGTGCATAAAAATTTAAAGAAATTCGTTATCACAAAGTTTTGTCAAAATTAATCACAAAAACGCCAGGTGCAACCTTTACCGATTTCTATAATTTAACTAAAATCTGCATTTAGATTTAACTGCAAATTATAATAGACGGGTTGGCAATCGTCTCGCAAAACTATAATGATCCCGAGCCCTCATCAAATTTCATCGAATATTTTTCACAAAATTTAAATCGGTGTATATTTTGAGAAAATTATGACGAAAAGTCAAATTTTAGTTACATACACATGTTTCCGTAGGGTCAGAAGAAATATAGAAAAGCGGAGGTCTTAGTCGGTATTATTATTTTATGCCTGGCATACATACAAGCATTTTCTTTGTTATATTATATAGAAAACACCTACCTACATACATACTTTTGTCTTTTTTTTATGTCAAATTTTTCAGAACGACTTAAAAGGCCAATAAACATAAAATTAGCAAATCAGATTCACTAGAAAAAATTATTTTGTTTTTCGGGAACTTAATAATTCCAAGCTTCACTGAGTGATAACTAATATCGCTTATTTATTTAAAATACTATGTTGTTTACAATTTAATTATTCGGCATAATAAGTCGATTTCTATTCGTTTGGTCATTGTTGGACCACGTGTGCTGGCCAAAGTTGTAAATTCTTTGGGTTTCTATAAGATCCTTTATGGATACACTTTGTCTGCCAGAATTCTGTCGTCCGGATTTTTGGGTGTTTTTTTCATTGGATCCGATCGTTCGTATGCCAGTTTGGATATATGTATTACCAGTACGATGCCACAAAATCTGTTTTTGAATCTGATTAATTGATCCATTTGTTATGGAAACTGTCTTTGGAATATTCTGTTGCATATTAGGCTCAACGTTTATTCGCTGGCCAATCGGCTGAGAAACTATTCTATTCATATCAGAAATTTCAAAAGCATATGGTGTACTGTCTTCTGGTGAGTTTTCTTGCGGTCGTCTATCATTGATAGAACTGAAACTGGATGCAGTGTCAGTTGAAATTTGTTGAAAGTTGCAATCTGATTTCATTTGACCTCCTGATGCCATGGGGCACATGGTGCTGGTGTTGTTCTGAACGGTTTGTATATGATGATTGGGTCTTATCAAAGGTGGCGGTTTTCTTCGATTCTGCCATCTAGTCGAATTATAATTTATAGTCGAATCAAACGCTCCCGTTGTATTAAAACTATTATCGGGATGATTGATAGGTGATCTATCTGGTCCCGCAAAAGATTGTAAGGCTGACATATCGGCGACATTATACATTTTTATATTATTTTGGATTGCTTGGTTGAGAGTGTTCGATGGTTTTCCTTCTCCCCAAACCACTTGCTCAATCCAGGCAATGTTTGATTTGACATCGGCAAATATACTGGCATCATCACATGGCTCACCAGGAGATGAAGTGATACCTATAACGTCATACATACAATAAATTCCAGGTCGATGAGCTACTAGTGGATCACCAATTGTTCTCTGAAACAATTAATTAACTATCAACATTTGATTTAATGCCAATCGAAGTACGTAGTACGTAGTAGTAAGTAGTTTTAAATTTGAAATTAAAATAACTGAAATCAGATATTTATTATTACCTGGCAATAATCAGCTTTCATTGCAGGTTTTCCACATACTTTTGGTTCGTTACTACGAGAATTTCTTCCTTGCATTAAATATTGACATTCTGATTGAGATTTTATTTGAAGTAGTGCCTAAGATCAAATATTCTATCAATTTTAGATTTTTTATAAGTTGATGTAAAATATAGACAAAATATATTTACTTTACTCATATCCCCTTGATATTTTGTCAAATGCCATCCAGTGGCAAAAGCCTTGTTCACATTTTCGTTACTTGTAGGTAAACAAGCAGGAATAACATACCTAGTTAACTGAAATCTATGGATAACACAATATTCAATAGACAAAATAAAAATTGTATAAAATGAATTTATAATAATTATTCATTTATTACTTGTGTTTAAGTTTAACAACAGCCAAGTCCGAACTGGATTGTGTGTTGGTAAAAATGTAAGCTACTTCACTTAACTCAGGCACTGCATCATCCAAATCATCATACAGATTATAGTCTCCTGCTACTGCCCATTTAATAAATCCTCGCCTAAAAATATATATAGATCGAAATTATGTTTTCATTTGAAAATACTCCTTTACATTCACAAAAATGCCTATTAACTTTATAAAATTAGACCAATGGCCATCTAATAGCTGTCCAAAAAAAAATAGAAACAAATATACAGATCCGATTAGTATAGAATGGTAAAGGAATTGGCATACTAAAGAATTTTTTCGAATACACTACGATTTTATTTATTTTTATGAAAAAATAAGTGACAATAAAAGAGAATATCTCTTATAAGTTTTTTTTTCATTTCTTGAAATAAATCTTGCATAATAAATATCATCAGATGAAGAAAAATGGTTAGCTCGGGTAGCTATTATTAGGAAGACCGACGTGCGAGAAGTAATTTCGCCTAGATTTTGGTGCAAATCCTGAATTTATTTCTAAAAATTAAAAGTAGGCAACATAAATCGAAATCCATACCAGATCAACAATATTTTTTGCCTATGTGGGTGAAATATGCTATATCAAATCTATTAAGAACCAATTCTTGGTGACATTTTTCTTCAGTAACTATATTTTGCTCATGCATATAGTTATTTAAAATTATAGCAAATTTGCAAAATATTTGTTGGTTTATGGAAAACAGAGAAATGAGAAAGGGCTTTGCTACAATATTATTGCAATATTCTTATTATATATGCGGCTTGGAAATAAATTTATATATCATCATAAGTAACCACCAAAAAAGATATCATTGAATCATTGAAGAAGTGGTTAACGATTTGGAAAGATAAAAAAGATGGGAAATAATAGAACTATAGGAAAAATATTTTTGATTCATGAATCTGTTTTCAAACTTGAAGTTATTTTTATAAATATTATGCAGTAATTAACTTACATTGGATCCTTGGCACACGAAATAGTTGTCAACACATACTGATCACTAATCAAAGCTCCGGAGCAGACATAATCTATGTTTTCCAATGGACCTACAGCAAAGGCAATCTATGACACAAATTAATAATATAAGTAAACATCACTTAAACATGATCATATGAAATACAGGTTGTTTATCAATATAAGTAAATGTTGAATATATTTTATATAAATATTTTTTATATAATTAAACTAAAATTACCAAAGTTTAGTTTTAAAGTTCCTGATGAAGAAAACATTCCTTATCCCCAAAACAAAGAGTATTTTACCCTGTTTCTTGAAAATAATAAAACAAATTAAACATTTGGGCCGTGTACTAAACGTAAGTTTATTGATTAGAAATTATTTCTATATTATTCGTAGTTTCTATAAATCTTTGAAGTTATTAAAATGGAAAATATTTTTTAGATAAGACAGATATTCGAGCTTACTGCATAGATATTACATCTTATCGCCAGCAAAAAAGTACAAAAAAATACAAGCAGTCAATGAATGTAAGTTAATTTTAATTACATGAAGTTCTTCAAAATTTATACTGTTATATAAAAAAAAGAAAAAAAAATTGAGAAAGAAAAGGTAGCGCATAGTTAAAAAAAAATACAATTATAAATATATGAATATTTTTTCTTACCATGTAAGGATATTCCCTAGGCACTGGATTTGGATAAGGAAGATCTGAATTATTCTGCGGCGTTTGTCTGCACATGTCTATTAGGGTTCCATTAAAATTGTACAATAATGATGGCACCCACAAGTGCGTTAACAAACTATATTTGTTACAATCTGAAAACCAAAACTTTTATAAAACATTTATATAAATATTTCTTAAACATAAATCAATTATTAATTACGTTCGAGGGCAAGATCTCCAACTTTTTTCGGTACAACTTTATCAGGCGGTAGTCCTAAATTTTCAGAAGTACAGCAGACTACCGGAGTGTTTCCTTTGAATCCGCACAGGATAGGTCTGGTATCGTAATTGTAAATAGTCGAATGCACCCCTGCACACAAATCAAACGGGGTGCACCTGCCCACTGCATTTTTTGAATCGGTACAGAAATCACCTAAAATTATTATTAGATTAATAATTTTGATTATTTGCCAAAAATCATCTATGTTTTCTAAATCAATTTCATATCGATGAAATATAGCGCACATGTGGTTGGCTACAGTTTTGCTGATGCCAAAGCTTAACTTAGTTTAATTTATTCAAATTTATTTGTGATGTTTGCTTATTTTTGTTTTATTATTATTTTACCACGGATTAGAAATAAAAAGGTCTAATAAGTTGATGTGCTCATTTGACTTAACTAATTTTGCCCGTTTTGGGACAATCCAAACGGTTGTCCTATCTAAATGCACGATGAATTTTATTATAATAAATACTATAGTATTACAGTTCTATAATAGCGATAAATTCTTTATGGATGCAGTAATGTAGGGCAGGGGCTATTTTACTTGGAAATATATTGCTATCCATATTTCCAAGTAAAAACCGTTTTCACTACTGCTTGACTTTTGGCTGACTTGGCTAATAAACCCATAGCTTCTTATTTACAGAAAAGCCTATATTACCTATTTTATCTGATCATTTATAGAATTTTTGACACAAACTATAATTTCGATCATTAACCTGTTTGGAGATCCAGACACAACCAACTTATCTTTTTTTTTCATATCTGTGATAGAAAATTTTCATCTCAACTAGTAAAGAAGTAAATTTAGAAGTTTAGTATTATCTATATTATTTTATTGGCGTTCTGAAAATTTTATTTTATAGTATACTAAATATATATAGTATACAATTTTATTAAAATAGAATGAGGTCCCAATACTAAGTGTAGTGAATAAATTCTGAACTGAGTGTGATGTCATATGAATCGATTCTGCCCTATAATAGACCAATGTCATGGCAAGGCTATGTTATGAAGAACTTGACAAAACTTTGACAAAAAGCCATGTGGTTACTGTGCAGTCAGGCGTTTTTCTAAGGTTTTCAGATAGAAAATCTAAACTAGAAACCGCAAAAATGTCAAAAGAAACGATCTTAGATAACAGGGTCTTTCTGACTCAGGTTCATAACATACGACTGACGTTGCAGTTTATGTGTAAAATGCCTGAATGCAATCAAATACATGACATTTTGATAGTATTCAGTATGATTCAGTAGTATGATGTATGGAAGTTGGTGCATAACATGGCCTTGCCATAACATTTTTCTGTTATGCGGCAGAATAGGTTCCTTAGACTACTTGTGCACTGAGGAATTTTAATGTGTCAATAATCTAGTTTATTATCTTAAAAAAATGATTTTCTTATCAAACATATATTGTTACCGTTTAATTGGAATATCCTAGGATATTCAGGCGACACCTATTCAAATTCAAAATAAATGGCGCAAACGTAGTGTTTTTTGAAACTCCATGGATAAAGTTTACCACGTGCTTCTACATAAGTTGAATTTTTAAAATTAATTAATGACTTTTTTTATTTTATTATCAAAATATTAATTTAAAATACCTTTCCCATCTATTGATCGAATTTTAAGTATGTACGATGTTTTGATATAGAATCATCTCTAATTAGGTTCTACGTGATAAAATTATATAATTGCAATTATTTATTTCAATTTAGGAAAAATGATAGAGGTGTGTGAACCAACCCTAAGGGGGCGTCTATTAATCACGTGGGGTTTTTAGGGAGAGCGGAGGTTTGACAAAAAATCACGAAATATCACGTGGGGAAGGGAGGGGTATCGTAAGATATTACATGTATATATTTTTTACTTGAGTTTTAAAAAAAAACATTATTATTTTTTGTCGATTGGTGGAACCAGAATTGTGTGTTAGAAAAGCCTGCAAAAGGCGATTTTCATTCGAGATCTATGAACTTAAGAGAAAATTTGATATGATGCTGCTTGATATCGAGCTTGGCCGAAGCAGGTATCGAAACAAGGACTAGTTTGTGCCAGCCGACGTAGTTACCGGTTACGCCAGGGCTGGACCTATGATTGCTGTTTAAACAAAAAATATTCAGAAAAATTGATGCAATGAAGATTCGAATAGAAAAGTTTATCTGAAGTTTTGCGATCCGCAAGTTGATTAAAGATTCATTTGTATCTGCAATTTGATCAATTATTTTATGAAAAATCTCATTAATTTTATTTTTAATTTAATGAATAAATTTGTTGTTTACATTGTACTTGCTAGGAATCTTCACAAATCGTAATTCAAAGAAAAACCAACTATTTAAAGCTGTGAACTTGACTGGTGACGCCAAGATAATAAGCAAATTAAAATGTATATATATATATATATATATATATATATATATAAATTATAGATGTAATTATAATACAGTAAAACCCCGTTAATACGATTATGCTCCGAGGTTCTACCGCGTAATTCGCCACAATATACCGGTTCCTGCACTTTCAAATATCCTTATCCGGATGATACGATTTCTCGCTTAAAACACGTTTTTATCAGTTTCCTGAAAATTGCCTCAAACAGGTTTTACTATATAAATAATATTCTCTTTATTATTGCTATACAATCTACAAGGCTATTGACAAAGAAACATTTTCTTATAATTTGGATAAAGCTGGATAGAGCTATAATATTTAATATTTGTTAAATATATTATATATATATATATATATATAATGTTTCAGGTTATATTTATTGTTTTTTGGCAAGAGTTGAACTCACTGACCTTCATATTTGTTCAATTCAGTTGCTGTAACAACTAATACAGTCCACACCAGTATGAACAAAACATAATTAATTATAAACATTTCACTTCAATTAACTATAATTTATTTGTTATTGAACAAAATCCAGTATGCACAATTTTAACCATTTATGAATGTTCACAATCGGAAAATAATAATCCAGAAATATTTATTTATTTATATGGAGCTACAATTTGACCTTATATGACTCGCGTGTGGAAGTTGTAATGTGAAAAAAATCTTTAAATCGTCTCCGTTTGTCACAGGGATATGAAACATTGTAATTTTTGAATAAAAAATTGTATAATTTAGTTTTTAATATGAATTTTTGATATTTTGGTTTATTAGCTGTGGTTATTAATAAAATGTTATTTAGTATTAATTTATTATACATTGAATGATATTAATACTATTATTACTTGTGAATTTGATTATTAATATTTGATCTAATACCAACGCTTTTGTATATAATTTGTTACATATCTTTGCGTTAAAACTGGGTAAACCTTTTTTACTTGAAAATTAATTTAGTTTCAATTGATAACTATTTTATTTTATTTTAGTATTTATTATATATATATAGTTTTATATTAACCTTATAAAAGCTAGTATGTGAGTGGTAATAAGAACAACTGGACCTTTACCCTGGCAAAGGTGTAAATGAAAAAAATATAGAAAAGTAAATTAGGTTAAATACAAGAGAAAAGTTAAAAAATAGTTATTCCAATTCTGCTGTGAAATATTTTTGATAAAATACCAGATCGAGGTTATATACAGTGTTACCTCTGTAAAAAATGAACCTATGAATTATATATTTTGCATTGTTCAAATAATGTAGCTATCATTGACTCTTTGAAAATTAATGATGAGACATTGGATTTGTTTGTCCCTTAGCTTTCTCATTTTACCTCGCCT